TCCCCCAGCTTGATGTTGTCTGGAATTTTTGATATTGCTTTTCTCTTCTCTCCTCTAGATGATTTATGAATGTTGAAGAGTTTTGGGCCCAAAACAGAACCCTGAGAGACATTATATGTTTCCCTTCATGTAAACATAGTTCCATTGAGGACTGTATGCTGGTATAATTGGTCAGCCAACTGTGAATCCATCTGGCAATGGCAGTGTCTATTCCACTTTGTTCTACCTTATCAAGAAGCAGCTGTGGTTTACTTTGTCAAGTGCTTTACTGAAGTCCAACTATACTATGTCTACAATATTTTCCTGATCTACTAATCCACTAAAATAAAAAAAAAAGATTTGTCTGGCATGATCTGTTTTTAACAAACCCATGCTGCCTTCTAATAATCATCTTGTTCATTTTTAGATGCTCACAAATCTGCCTCTTGATTATCTTTTCCAGGATTTTCCCAGGTATTGATCAAGCTGATTGGGCGATAATTTCCTGGATCCATTTTCTCTCATTTTGTAGATAGGAACCACATCAGCTGTTTTCCAGTCTTCTGGTAGTTCCCCTATGCTACAGGAGCTTTGAAAGATTACATTCAATGAGTAAAAAAAATATTGAAAAATTATATAAGAAAGATGAAGTAAGCTTTTAGCTAAAATTGATAGGCATCTCAACAATTCTGCAAAAAGCTATAGGAATGGCTTTGAAGGGAATATTCTTAAATTATTTCAGGAACAATAAAAGAGAAGTGCTCCTTTAGATTATGGGAAAGGAGATGCTGTTAGGAAGACACTCAGAGTGCTTTTCTCTGACTCAATGGGAAATAAGAGGGAGGGAAATATAATACAAGCAGACTTACAAAATTCTTTTCTTATAGTTTATTTCAGGGGTGTCAAATTGGATTTCTTTGAGGGCTGGATCAGCATTGTAGTTCTCCATGGGCTGGCGGGAGGGGGGGCGGGGAGTGGGGGGAAAGATGGGACGCACGCCGCGCGGAGGCCTCCCAAAAACAGCTGGCAGAGTGCTGCTGGAGGTAGGAAAGGCCAAAAACGGGCCGCATGGGGACCTCGGGAGGCCTCCATGCGGCCCATTTTTGGTCAGCAGAATGCTGCAGGAGGCCGGGGAGGCCGAAAATGGGCCGCAGGCTGGATTTAAGCAGCTCACAGGCTGGATCTGGCCCGCGGGCCTTGAGTTTGACACCCCGGGCTTATTTCAATAAAGTAGAGTTATAGTCTTCATGTGGTTTCTAATCTGGACTATCATAGGATTTATTTATTTTATTAAATATACATGCCATCCACCTCACTAATGAAGCAACTCTGGACAGCTTACAAAATAGATTAGCAAATTTTGGAAAGGTTTGGGTCTATTTTTCACACCTTTGTAATTTATTGTTGTTAGTCCTGTTATTAAATCTATTATGTTCCATTATGTTCAATAACAAATCCTGTTGAAAAAATTATAAAATCATTGAATACTTCCAGCAATCAAAACAGTCCTGGGAAGCAGCAACTATTGAATGTTGAAGGGCGGTTCATCTCTATGTTGCATTGGCCATACAAATGGCTTTACCATACTAGCTGATTTTCATACTGTGACCTTCTTTTCACTTTTCTTTTCCCTTGGCAACTCTTAAGCTTTGTTCACATAATCGTTACAGTGAGTGATGAGATCAAACCAGGGCAACACAATATAGATAACTTTTGCTAGATAATAATATGAGGAGCTGCAGGAAAGGAGTTTTTATTAGTCTTAACTCAGCAGGTATTGATTGGGGTGGAAAAAGAAAATGGTGGATCAATATATTAGGAAGCAAATGGTAGATATAGAAAATTTAAATCAAAGCTCTATTTTTTACAGTCTAAGAAACTATGAACTGCCCTTTACAGTTTCACTACATCACACCAAAGAGAGTTCCAGAAAGTAGTAATTTGTCTCCATTATTAGTATAATTTCCTTCGGGAATGAAAGACTAGAAAAAAGAACCATTAGCTTCTTGTCACTTATGGGAAAGAAATTAGAAATGCTACAGGTATGACACTCAAAATATCACTACACCTTAATACTAAAAAGGAGAAAAAACTGATAATTCCATAACCTCAACAAAGAGATTGACAGATTAAAATAAATTCATCTAGATGCAAACTATTGCAGTGTAATATGATTTCTGCTTTCCTCGGAGTTGTACCAAAATTTAGTAATTCTTTTTGACTTGCCAAACATATTTTGCACATTGCTGGTGGCTTTGATTAAGAGGTACCTATCTCTTTTGCCAATATTCAGCTTTATTTACAGTTTTAATAAAAGGATAGGATGCCATATATCAGGAATAACTAGCCCAAACCACAAACAATAAAATATAAGCACAAGGGAGAGACACATACAGAAGAAAGACGAGAGAACTAGGTATTTCATAAGTGAATTCCAGGAAGGGCAAATATGAGTTCTATTCCATAGATTTAGGAAATAGCATAAAAGTTTTAAATCAGAAAAAAATATACAAAAATCAACACTGGTCTTGATAAGTAGGGAGTAAACTCCCTACATTGAAATACTTAACTCTTGACAATAATGAAAATACTAAATAAATTATGAGAGGTCTTATTCTACATGGAAGGGACATGGTGGCTTAGTGGGTAAAATGCTGGGCTTGTCGATCGAAAGGTTGGCAGTTCAGCGATTCAAATCCCTAGTGCCACGTAATGGGATGAGCTCCCATTACTTGTCCCAGCTTCTGGAACCTAGCAGTTCGAAAGCACGTAAAAAATGGAAGTAGAAAAATAGGGATCACCTTTGGTGGGAAGCTAACAGTGTGCCTTTGGCATTTAGTCATGCCGGCCACATGACCACGGAGACGTCTTCAGACAGTGCTGGCTCTTCGGTTTTAAAACGGAGATGAGCACCGTTCCCTAGAGATGGGAATGACTAGCACATATGTGCGAGGGGAACCTTTACCTTTACCTTTATTCTATATGGGTCAGTGCACAGTAATAAGTTATCAACAAATGTGCTTACTATAATACAGTAGTAAAAAATCTTCTTGGTTTTCTTCATACAGTTTCCTTTCATTAGGTTAATTCAGGTTTGTACAGCATCTTTAGTTCATAGTTTTCTGCTTTCTTGTCTATACTTTTAAAAGGCCCAGCTATTTAAGACCAACACTATTCAAAAATATTTATTTGATAGCATGTTAATGTTACTATGATATTTGCATGATGCCTAAACGACAAATAGCATGTCATGTTAAACAGTTTAATATCTTTACTAATTTTACCAGTACAATTTGCATAATAGTTATCACTAGCCCTAATAGTACTCTAAATATCCATTTGCTTCTCTGTGGAAAACTCTTCTAGGATTTTAAAATATAGGGAATGGAGAGCTGTGTGAAATCCCAAATGATTTCCAGGATAACTGAAAAACATTTTATTCTTCCTATTCGTTATGGTTTAGTAATCCAAGCTGTTCTGCTTTTGATGTTAATGCTAAATTTCAATGATGGTTTAAATTGTAATACAGGTAGTCTTTGACGTACAACATTTTGTTTAATGAGCTTTCAAAGTTGCAACAGCACTGGAAAAAGTGACTTATGACTGCTCTTCACACTTACGACTGTTGCAGCATCCCCATGATCATGTGATCAAAATTCAGATGCTTGGTAACTGACTCATATTTATGACAGTTGCAGTGTCCCAGGGTCATATGATCACCTTTTGTAACCTTCTGACAAGCAAAGTCAATGGGGAAAGTAGATTCACTTAACAAGGTTATTAACTTATCAACTGCATTTAACAACTGTGCCAAAAAAAGTTGTAAAATGGGGCAAAACTCACTTAACAAATGTCTCACTTAACAACATAAATTTTGGACTCAATTTTAGTCATAAGTTGAGGACTACCTGTAGTAGTTTGGTGCAGTGGTATAGTCTAAAAACCAGAAGACTATGAGATCTAGGTCTCCCTTAGGCATGAAACCTTGGTGGATGACATTAGGACAATCACTCTTTCTCAAGCCGCCCCACCTCACAGGGGCAGGTGGGTCTCTCTGAAGGCCTTGAGCTTCCCAACCTACTGGTTCCACACTCTCCTCCTCACCCCTCCCATCATGGCTCCGTCACTTATTTTTTTGATAGGTCTTTGGGAAGCATCTGCTCTACCATGTGGCCTTCCTGCCCAGTAGAGACCGTGTGGTGCCATCCCAGAATGGGATACCATTTTGGGAGCAGATGGAATGAATTGTGGCTGCTCCAAAATGGCACCCACTTCCAGGAAGGTGCCACACAGCCTTCACTGTATAGGGAGGCCAAGAGCCAACTGTCCTTCCCAAACACTATCTCTTTTGATAGAATCTTCATATAACAATAACATTTCTGTCTGATAATTATCGGTTTGTGATTTGCTGCAGAATTGAATTTTGTGTTGTAATTTTAACCAAATGGCTAATCATGATCTAAGCAGTTCTGAATTTATCTCCTTCAAAACCTTTGCATTTGCATTTTAGGTATTTAAAACTGATTTTATTTCAGGTTTGTTTTATTGTTTTAATAATAAATTTTGATTTTGTTTATCATTTTTGAGATTGGTCTGCCTCCCACAGGAAGGAAAAAGGACTGAAATCTCTAGTCACATGTTTATATATTACATAGAAAGGTGACTGAATTATTATTATTATTTTGCTTTATGCATTTTTATCCTTTAATCACTAGAAAAATATCACAGGTTATGAAAGCTTTCTTCTCACACAAGAAGGTATGAGCGAACACCATTTGAGGTGACCCCTGGAGGAGATATTGTATCAACTGGAAGTCACAAGGTTCTGGCCCAAAGCAGGAAGTAGGACCATGGGGAGGAGACCCAAGGGGTTTCTAGAAGAAGTTCCAAGTCATATGGATTTCTATCTTATAGGATCCATTACTCTGGAGTTCTGGCATCCCACTGTTATTATTATTGAACTACACTGGAGGTCTGTAACTAAACGTTCTTCCCTTCCTTTATTTTATTTTTATTTTTAGGGATGCGGCAGGGAAATGATGCTGGGACACAATATCGGTCTGCCATCTATACAGTCACCCCAGAACAAATGGAGTCTGCCTTGAAATCTAAAAATGATTATCAAAAGGTAAGGATAAACTTAAAGTGCTTCCAGGTCACCTTACAATATTCAGACTGAGAAAAGCCATTACAACTTATCCTCTCAACTTATGTCTACAATTGGAGCTGGAGTCTCAGGGTAAGGTAATTAAGAAAGACATCCATGTGACTACTTCCTTCAATGACTTCAATCCCAGCTCTCCCTGTTGCAGTTGCTAAGCAGGTAGAGTGAAACAGCTGCCTGCTGAAAAAGGGCAGGTAGCTCCTCTTCATGCATGAAGGTGAACGCATATGCTGGGCTGGAGAAATGAGGCAGGGATCGCGAAGATTATTACTTTGTTTCTCCACTACAGTGCACAGGTTCCTCTCTTCTCTGTGTTCAGAAGGGAACTCATGCAGTGAGCTAGAGAGATGAGATGATGGGGATTGTGCAGCTCAACAAAGTACTTCTGTCCCTTCTCCTGCCATGCATGGCGGAGAGGGGATTCTTTGGCATGTGGTAGCAGCTTGCAACCTTCCCTGTCAGCTTCCCCATTGACTTTCTGGGGAAGCTGGCAGGGAAGATTGCAAATGATGATCACATGACCACAGAGCACTTGGCAATCAGTTATAATATCCAAAGTTGGCAAGCACCCAGATCACAAACACTTCACAAACACAAAGTCATGTTTTATGATGTGCTTGACAGCCTTTAATGCCTTTATAACTTTGAATGGTTATAAACTACTGGTTGTATGCCATGCGCTACCTTTATCAGTTTTGTAGCCACTGGCCCAGGGATGGGCAATTAATTTTCTAAAAGGGTCAGATGAGAAACTGAGACTATTGTGGAGGATTGCTGCTGCCCCACCCGCCACTGCCAACACTCTGCCCCCGAAGCTGCTCTCCTCTGCCAATGCTGCACCGATGCCCCAATGCTGTCACTGCTCTACACCCCACCCGCTAATGCTGCCCTTCAATTGATGCTGCTGATGCCAGCTCCCTGCTGTCAATGCTATGGATCAGATTAGGACCGCCTGTGCCCACAGGCCATAAAATGCCCAGGTTTGCATTAGCCTGTACTTTGCTGAGAAGAGGGTTTTTTTTGACTCCTTGAAGACTAGCTACCTATTTTACTTCCAATCGCACTGTTAAGGTCAGTGTATTTATATCAGACATTGTTTTGGCATTGCTGTACTTTTTCATGCTATCATTCATAATGAGGAGAAACTCCATTCAGAACTGTGAATATCTTCCAGTATTGTTTGCTGTCTGTTTGAATAGCTAATAGCTGGAGACTCTTTATAAAATATGTGATGACTGACATCACTGCCTTTGAGTTCTCCTTCCGCAAGAGATAGCGAGCAAAGTAAAATATCAGCAGGGCTGCAGGGAGATTTGTTGGCTAATGATTTCACAACAGTTAGATATAAAGAAAAGAAGAATGGAAGACAGTGACAAACATGTAACTCTCATAATTTCAAGCTTGAGTTGTTTATTCACTTGAGAACAATTTTACTTTGTGAAATAGTATTAAATATTTTATATTTACATAGTTAGAAATGTAGGACATTTCTAATTCAAGCTCCCATACAGTTGTACAAATCAACTGACACAATAAACTCTAAAATTCTTATACTTTATTTTTTGTATTTATCCTGAATATATTGACTATATCTGAAATAGCAGAGATAGAAGCAGGTATGGCATGGAAAAAAATGGTGGTCTGCTACTATATTAATGTCCTTTCCCAAAGTCGTCTCCTTATTACTTTCCAGTGAACTATAAACTTTATTCTAAGGAATACCTGCATCATTATTATTCATTCCCCCTCCCAAGAGGACTAAGGATGGTTCTCATTAATTTATATTGTTTTCTTTCCTCTAGTTTTATGTGTAGTTTTCAACAGATGGGTTTAAGGTTGAAAAATGTCTGGGTTTTTTTTCTTGCCCCAGAAAATCTTTCCTGTTATATACTGAAAGGAAGTTTTTGGTGGCATACCAACTTCCACAATTCCTGGAGGAAACGGATTATCTAGTCCCGTACCAATTGGGTTTCAGGCGTGGACACAGCATGGAAACGGCATTGGTTGCCCTGGTGAATGATCTCAGGCGGGCCCGGGATGGGGGTTATTCCTCCATTCTGGTGCTACTTGACCTCTCAGCGGCTTTCGATACCATCGACCATGGTATCCTACTGCGACGGCTCCAGGGATTGGAGGTGGGGGACACTGTTTTACAGTGGTTCTCCTCCTACCTCTCGGGCCGTACGCAGTTTGTTTGGGCGGGGGGTCAGAGATCCTCCTCGAGGCCTCTCACTTGTGGGGTGCCGCAGGGGTCGGTTCTCTCCCCCCTGTTCTTTAACATCTATATGAAACTGTTGGGTGAGATTATTCGCAGCTTCGGGGTAAGGTATCATCAATATGCTGATGATACCCAACTGTACATCTCCACCCTGGATCAACACAGGGATGCCCTCTCAGTGATGTCTAAATGCCTGGAGGCGGTACGGGTCTGAATGGGCAGGAACAGGCTCAGACTCAACCCCTCCAAAACTGAGTGGCTGTGGTTACCGGCATCTCGTGATCTAGTATCCCCATCACTTCCGATGGGGAGGGAGTTGCTTACTCCTTCTGAAAGAGTTCATAATCTTGGCATCCTCCTTGACTCACGGCTGTCCTTGGTGGATCATCTGATGGCCATGACAAGGGGGGCTTTTGCACAGGTTCGCCTGGTGCGCCAGTTACTCCCTTTCCTAGACAGGGATGCCCTCCGTACAGTCACTCATGCTCTCATCATTTCTCAGTTGGATTACTGCAATGCCCTCTACATGGGGCTGCCCTTGGGGTGCACCCGGAGGCTCCAGCTGGTCCAGAATGCAGCTGCGCGGGTTGTTACGGGAGCTTCCCGCTACTCCCATGTAATACCTCTCCTGCGTGATCTGCACTGGCTGCCGGTGGCCCTTCGGATCCGCTTCAAGGTGCTGGTACTCATCTATAAAGCCCTTCATGGCATGGGCCTAGGGTACTTGCAGGACCACCTCCTACTGGCCTCCCACTGCCCAATGCTCTCACATAGGACTGCCTTCCTCCAGGTGCCGCCGGCCACACAGTGTCGGCTGGCGGCTCCCAGGATGAGGGTGTTCTCTGTGGCCGCACCGACCCTCTGGAATGGGTTACCCACCGGGCTCCGGACGGCCCCTGACCTCCGCACTTTCCGCGCCGAGCTGAAGACATAGCTTTTTCAGCAAATTCCCTAATCTGTCGCGGGGTTTTTAATTGTCTGGGGATTTTAAATTGACTAATTTTAGTATTGGGATTGTTGTGTTGTTTTTGTTTTGTGAGCCACCCCGAGTCCTATGGGAGAAGGGTAGCATATAAATTTGAAAAATAAATAAATAAATAAAAAATGGGGGAAAGCTTGCTATCTGTCATTCTTACAGATTGTCAGCAATTGAGTCTCGCTTTAGCACTCACATAACTGAGGTTTCATGCCAGCAACTCTTCTCTACTTCGTCCTGGGCTTAGACCACAGCCTATCATGCTATCATTGTCTATCTGTTTTGTTCTGTCAACTTGGAGAGAGAAGTATTGCCTTGTGACTGACCGTTACAAGGTCATCTGTGATTTTGACAACATGGCAGTATAGGTCCTTTAATCAGAAGAAGTTGCTCAAATTGTGAGATTTTTTTTTTATTCATACTTTTCCCTCTTCTTTCCTGCTGTTTCATTCTTGATGTGGTAGTTTTTCATAAATAAATTTTATGGGTAGGTATTTGACCATTTAAATGGAAAGTATTAAGATGTTTTCAGGAATAGAAAAGGTTGAAGTAGTTCCAGGCATCCTAATCAGACCCTTTCTCCATATCTCTTTTTCTCAATATAATGTTTTACATCTTAGTTTCTCCAGTCAGATGCAAGAAGCTTTTAAAAGGTCAGATCACTGAGAATTATTCATATAATTTTTTACATTATCAGTTGTGTCTATCGAATTTAAATAAAATGGACAACAATTCAGAAAAAAAGTCTTATTGAGATTGAAAGAATTTTGTCCTGGGGATTGGCAGTATTGGATTTAAGCTTTAGATATTTAACTCAAGTCAAGTTATCTCTCTGTAATCCGGCTGTTTTAAAATCACTTTTATGTATATTCAGCCTGTAATATTCTGTGAGCAACTTCTGTAGACAGTTATTTCATTTGGTTGTTGTTTGGTAGATTTAAAAGCACAATGGGGAACTGCCAATCATTTTATAAGGTTAAATAAAATAAGCTTTATGTGGGTATTTTCCAGTGGTGAAATGTAAAATTTGTTACTACCGGTTCTGTGGGGGTGGCTTGGTGGGGGGATAATGTGACTGGGTGGGCATGGTCAACATTTTTTTTAAAACTTTTAAAACCATAAAAATGCTTTTAAAAGCCTCTGATGATCCCAGCTGAGCCGTGCGATCATCAGAGGCTTTTTTTTTTACTTTTAAAAGCATTTTTTCGGCCAAAGAGGTTGTAGAAAAAATGCTTTTAAAAATTAAAAAAAAGCCTCTGATGATTGCGCGGCTCAGCTGGGCGGCGGGGGGGGGATTTTTGCTACCGGTTCTCCGAACCACTCGCTGCCATCACTACTGGATCGGGTGACCCGGTCTGAACCAGGAGCATTTCACCCCTGGTATTTTCTCTAATTGATGTAATTTTTCCTGGGTCTGGGAATAGGGCTCTCTGCAGAGTTATGCTGCCAGACTCTTGCCTTTAGAAAACTTTGAAGAGTATGAATTTGCCACATAATTGTTTTGGATCGTTCCTACAGAGGAAAGCAGGCACATGCTTGTAGGTACATATGTTTTGCCTGTGAAGTATTTTGTTTGTTGCTTCACAGGTAGTGTTTAGGTTTTATTTATGTATCATCTTAATCATACTCTTATGTCTAATTTACTCTGCACCCTATTTATTTTCTATAGATCTATTAATTTATTTACAAAAATGTTCAGTAATTTTTCACCATTTGCAAAATAGAGTGAGTCCAGCTCACAAACAGTCTCTGCATTTGTTTCAAACTCTATTCCTCTAAGAGCAGTAGAATTTTTTCCCCATTCTCTCTAAAATGTATTTACTTTTACAGTCCTTTACACACTGTGCAGTATTTTCTTAGCCTCCCAGTTCATGGTATAAACACTTGCTTTTCTCTCTGTCTCTCTTCATTTGTCCTCAGACTTTAGATTGCTTATCCTTAATATAGCTCTCAGTTGACTCTACTTCTTTCATATATATATTTTTTGAGCCCATAACAATTTAGCGTTCCTTCTGGCTATCACGTACCATTCTCTTATGGACTTGTGTCTTCTCTTTTCTAAAACAAATACGCTGTAAGATCAAAAATGTCAGTCCTGCCTCTAACACGCTCCACACTCCAGCATCACAGTCACTTAGCCATTAATCAGTGTTGATCTTCAGCCGTCTTTTGCTTCTGAATTCTAGTTATCACTTGCAAGTAGGCAGGGAACATAGAGACATTCCTATTTTATTTTATTTTTTTTGAACAGTTGTGGATCTACTATACAAAAAAGAATTTGCTATATTCCAAAAGCTTCACTTCTCTCCAAAAAGCACCAAACAGAGGAAAAATCCTCACATACAGTTGTGCTTCTCTTTAGACATAGGGAGGAAAAGTTTGCATTTTCCAGCCTCTTCAATACAGGCTTTCTGAAACGTAGACGGACTAATTTTACAATGTTCTCAGGATTGCTGCTGTGTGTAAAAGATGCACAGCATCTTGCAACAACCGATCAATCCCTAGGGGTTTATTGTCTAATAGCTAATTATTGTCAAGAGAAAAATACATTGCAAGTGGATCACAAAAAGATACAAATTCCCAATCCAAACACATGATTAGAATAAGTCAGGATTCAAGTGCTATATTGATTGGGGTTTGAATTGATGGGCCATTTGCTGTAAAAATGCAAGGTTATGGCATGAACTCAGAAGGAAGGGAGGAGATGTATATTTGCAAAGCCTGCATAACAAAGATAAAGAAAGAGGGGTGTGGACAGGTGGGGTCCCTTTCAATGTAGAAAACAGGAGCTAAGACAGAGCCAATAGAAGACTTACTAAAAGTCTTCTAGGATGCCTATTAGTTAACTTTTAGGAATAGGGTTGAAGTAGAGCCAATAGAATACTTGTCAGATAACTTTTGAAGTGTTTATTAGTTAAGACTTAGAAATAGGGATGGTGTAGAGCCAATAGAGGACTCTTTAGATAACTTTCAAAAAGCTTATTAGACAGTTTTTTTTATCCCACCTTAAAAAAACTATAAAAGCTTGTTGAATCCTTTGTTGTGGGTTCTGGCATTTTTTTGGCCGGGACCCCCTTTGTTGAAGCACTTCAATAAAAGGAAATCAATCCTGCACTTCATGTCTGGTAGTCTTCATCGGCTTTGGTGCCAGGGTAAGACCTGAATTTGGGGACAACAGAATAGTTAGGATATTTTGTGGAATGTATCTTTGGTTTAACATCTCTGCACTTTGTATTTGTATTACATTCTACAATGGCATTAGTATGTCATGATATAGGTGTTACATTCCCTATTCTTTGTGTTAGTATAATTTCTTTTTTAAACTATTTCAGTTAATTATATTTTGACAGATCATCCACCACTCCAAATTCATTATCAGCGCTTCCACATGTGCAAATTGGTGTTAGACGTCAACTTAAGCAGCAAATAAACATTCACATTACTCAATGGCATTTTATTACTGCAAAAATGAGAAATACTGTTGTGACTGACTTGCCAGCTCCAAGAAATAGTATGGAAATTCAGAATTTTGATCAAGGCAGAACTTGGTTTATTTCATTGCCCTCTGGTGGCCCTAGGACACGTCTGCAACATTGTGAGAACAGTTCATATTCCTCTTTTTTAAATAAATAAATAAATAAATAAGTTTTATTAAAAAATTTAAAAGGACCATAAATACTGGCACAAAGTAATACAAAATAGAAGCAATACAGAAAGAAAGAAAAAAACTGCAATAAAAATGAATAAAAAAATAAAAAGAAGGTCTGCACCAAATATAAGTACAAAATTTTCTCTTATTGTATGATTTTTAAAAAAGTTCACTTTTTTCTATTACCCATTTTTTAAATCATCAAAACTAGAAGTCACAAGTGCATTTTTTTTATGTTTCATGCAAATAGTCTATAAGAGGTTTCTCTCTAGGACTTGCCAATTGCTCAGTATTGGTAACAGTATGAGACAATTCAGAGAAGTTAAGAGAAGCTATGTAAAAAATGTTTCATTGTAGGAAATAATGCAAGCCATTTTGATTCCCTGCATTGAGCATGTTTCATTATGTAGCAGAAATAATCTTGACGTCTAAGTATCATATTGTACGTATCATATTTTCCCCATGTTTTAACATGTATTAGAAGCTAAGCCAATTCCAGTTCATCTTGCTGCAGAATCCAGAAGAAATAGATAATAGTGTCTTTTCAAACTGCAAACATATAAAAAAACATGATATGCTTTTCTTTGCAACTGAGAAATTAAGTAGAAAATCAACATCCAACTAGCTCAATTGAAAGGAATGCCTCTGAATCCAAAGAAAAAGTCATTGGGAGTCAGACAGCCTATAAATTGAATAATTAAATATGATAGTCAGAAAAGCTTTAATCTAGCCTGACAATAGGGTTTTTTCTTTTTAAAAGGCTAAGAAAATTATTTATTTAATTTGTATTCTGACTTTATCTTCAAGAGTATTCAATATTGAGAAAATAAAACAAAAAGTAAGCAGCCTTAAGTCCTTTTCTGAAAGCTAAAGAGACTGAGCACAGTTCTCAAAAAAGCTCTGTCAATAGCATGAGGAAAACAAAAGAGCACTAACACCTATATACCGCCGCATAGTGCTTTACAGCCCTCTCTAAGCACTTTACAGAGTCAGTATATTGCCTCCAACAATCTGGGTCCTTATTTTACTGACCTCGGAAGGATAGAAGCAGTGGTGAAATCTGAACCGGTTTACTACCGGTTTGCTGGCTGCGCATGCGCACTACGTGCCAAACGCACCCTGCGCACGCGCATGCACAGTACCCACCATGCACCAAATGCAAGGTGTGCACGCGCACACAGTGCACACCAAAAGGAGACATGGGGTAAGTAGAACAGCGCGCGGGGTGTGTGTGATCAGCTGTGGCGCACGATCTTGGAGCCTTTTTTTTACTTTTAAAAGCATCCAACTTCGGGCGAATAGGTTGTAAAAAATGCTTTTAAAAGTAAAAAAAAGGCTCTGACGATCGCACATCACTGCTGTGATCGTCAGAGCCTCTTTTTTTTTTTTTTTTTTTTTTTACTTTTAAAAGCATTTTTTATAACCTTTTCGGGCGAATTTTTAAAAAAACTTTTTAAAAGCATTTTTACTACCAGTTCCGGTAGTATAGGACAAGTTTTTGTAAGGAGATAAAAGCAGTTTATAAATGTTGATGGTTATGAATCAGTCTTCCTACTTATATGGTGAACATGATCTGAGATATTACTGTGGGCTAATAGAGGACTTGCAAATATTGACAGCTTATTATTTCAATGTTGCGGCACCTAGCCAAACTTGACCAATCTCAAAAAAAATCCAGTAGTGTTGGATGTAGTTAGAACTTGAATAGTACACTCAGCTGGAAAGTTTAAAAGAACAAAAAACAAAAGAAGCCTACAGCATATTCTATTTTTGTTATTGTTGCAAGAAAATAGCATGGGTCATCAAGATGGAACTCAATTTGAGGTAGACGTTTATATTCCCTATTCATTAAATTTTTACTGTAGTATTTTAACTGCGATATGCTCATTAATTTACTCTAGGTCCTTTTAATGAAAAAGCAAGTTGCAAATATAATAAATAAATTTCATGAGAAGAATCAGTTATATTATTTTGGGGTAATAGTACAAATTGTTTAAAGCTAATTTGGTTTCAAGAATACCCTGGAAAAAACTGAGATTCTTTTATACCAAAGATGGGAAATTTGTATTCTCCAGCTGTTCTTGAACCACCTTCAATCATTCTTGAGCATTAGTCTATTGGGCTAGGTTTGACAGATCTGGAGATATTCCCTTCCATAGCTTTATTTAATATTTGAACAGGGTTGGGGATACTAGAAATTTCCAGTTTCAGTTCAGTGTCAGTCTGATCAAAATTGGATCTTATGAGCTCTCTGGAATTTATGCTAGAGAATTAGGGAAATAAATTCTCTGAATTACTGGATCAACTTCACAGAACTTTAATTGAATCACAATTTCACCCCACTCCAGCTGAAACTTATTTGGAATGCATGCCTTCAGTTACAAAGTCTCTTTATTCAGAAGGATTGGTATTTTTCAAAAATGGCAGAGTTTCAGTCTGCCCAGTTGAGACATTTTATTTTCATGTTCCAGTGTTGAACTGTACCCAGATGGCAGATTCTAAACTGTAGAGCTAGTCATCCCTGAAGCAAATGAAACCTGACGTACAACTGCTCTAGTTGGGCTTGTAGAGGAAAGATTAATATTTGCAATGTACACTTTTAGTCAAATAAAACTGTTTTTATTTGAATAAAACAACTTTGTGAAAATGAATAAGAGTAACCAACATGTTAGATTAGCAAATGGTTGGAAGGTTAAGGTAGCTGGAGAGGGTGTTGCACGTTGGTCATTTAGTAATGAACCATTGCCTATGTTATATATTCCTGGGTTAAAATATAATTTGCTCTCTGTTAAATGATTATTGCAAGTTGGGTTTACAGTAACGTTTAGAAATGATAAATGTATAATTGAAAAAGATGGAAAGGTTGTTACTGCAATATTAGAAAATGATTTATTTATTTTAAGAGAGAACCCAGCATTAGTAGCAAATTCTAAGTCAGTGTACAGGAATGATAAACCACATGATGAATGTATTCATCTATTACATCGGAGACTAGGGCATATAAATTTCAGGACGTTAAAGAAAACAGTTCAGCTATCTGAAGGTATAAAACTACAATCATGTAGTAAGTATTTGAATTGCAATGCCTGTAATCAGCAAAAGAGTAAGGTAACACCAGCAAATCGTTTTGATGGTTTTAAAACCAAAAAGCCATTAGAAGTAGTGTTTGTAGATTTGATTGGACCCAAGAAACCCAGTACTGGAGGTGCCTGCTATATTCTAAGCATAGTAGACCATTACTCGAGGTACAGATTCTGTTATCTTATGAAAACGAAATGTGAAACATTCCACCATATAACTAACTGGCTGAGATTTGTTGAAAGGAAACAGAAGTATAAAGTAATGTGCTTAGTAACAGATAACGGTACGGAATTCACTAACCAAAGGTTAGAGAAGTTTTTGCAAGAGGCAGGAATACAGCATAACGATCTGCTCCGTATAGACCACAACACAATGCTTATGTTGAGAGAAGGGGTCAAACATTACAAGCCATGACTAGAACAATGTTGGCAGATTCTGGTTTGCCTGAAACTTTATGGGATGAGGCTGTTATGTGTGCTAATCATGTATTAAACAATGTGGTACATTCATCTACTGCTGAAATACCATTTACATTATGGAATGGGAGGAAACCAAATCTTAGTTACTTACACACATTTGGAGCCCCAGTTTGGGTGCATATTCCATCAAATGTGAGAAGGAAGGAACAACAAAGAGCCAGAAAAATGTTTTTTGTAGGCTATGATTCAAACCATAGGTCTTTTAGATTTTGGGCAAAGGGAACTACTAGAGTGCACTGTAGTGCAAATGCAAAATTTCTAGAGCACGAAGGATGGGAGAAACTTGAATGTGCAGATTATAGACAGGATGATAATACTGTTAGCATTGAGCATCAAATGAGTAACGATACTCCTGATGAGGATATAGATAATGTAGATTCTTCTATTAAGGTTGAAGAAGAGGAGGTAGTTTTAGGGGAGGATGAAATTGAATCGCCTGCAATGAGTCCTGTATTACCTAGGAGATCCAGTAGGGAAAGACATCCACCTAATAGGTATAAAGCAATGGTAGTTTGTCAGGTTAATATAGAACCTTCAAGTTATGAGGCTATCAGGATGTATCCTGAAAAAGAACAGAATGCTTGGAAGGAGGCAATGAGTAGAGAAATCAACTCATTAACTAAATTGGGTGTTTATGAGGATATGAAATTACCACCTGGAGAGAAATTGATTGGTTGTCAATGGGTGTATAAAGTAAAGAAAAGTATAGATGGGACAGTAGCCCATAAAGCTCACCTTGTAGCTCAAGATTTTGCTCAAACAGAGAAAGGTTTCGATGAGGTGTTCGCTCCATGTTTAAGAGCTAGCACATTAAGAACTATGCTAGTGTGGGCGGCAAAGAATAAGTATATTATTAATCATATAGATGGAGACAGCATACTTGCATACTCCATTAAGACATACCATTTATATGAGGAAGCCGTTAGGAGTGAAAACAAATGATCAAACTG